GATAATATAGAGTATGAGAGTTAGACCACACCACTTCGGCTGGTCTGTGTCTATAAACCATCTGTCTGAGAGTGAATCTACGTGACTGTCACAAAAGACTACCTCTCTGTTTGGTATACTTAATTGTCTCCTTTTGATAAAGTCAGCTGGACGTTGCCTGGACTGTGATGGATTATACAGCTCTATTTTGGGCTCTGTGGGGGATCTCAGGCTTTGGTTTATTGTTTCTTGAAAGTGGCGTATGTGTAACAGAACATTCCGTGCTGCTGATCAATGAGCCTTCTGTGTATCACAGGACTCTCACGAGAATGTCTCATTAATCCCTCTATCTATCCACTGCGTTCTTTAGATTTATTAAAAGTTACCAAAATATCATTCTGATGCCAAAACAGAATTATTTTTAAATGGAGAGATATTGACATATTTACGTCGGCGCCAATTATGACCAGATCGGAATGTGCCCAAGGTTATTTTCGTGTTATGAGGCAGGAAAAAGAAAAAAAAAACCTTTTCTCTGGTGGATGTTTCTTCGTAACTCTTAAAGTTTTATCTTTTTAGTCTTTTTCCATATATACCTAAACAACTTTACTTGACTATATTATGTGGTATATTTGTATTAATTTCTAAAGGGTGTGTGGTTTGATGTAAACGTATTGCTCAAATTCAAAGCCCTTTTTTTCATGTTCATGTCTCCGTTCTTCAGTACTCTAGTTACCATATTTTGTCAAATATTGTCTGATTGACTTCATTCTTTCAGATTGTAGAGGAAAAGGTCATAAGTTCGGACAATTAATTAATGAACACAACATCTGAGATAAATTTGCACTGTAGTCTTCCATAAATGTAGAAGTAAACTGATGGAGTGTTGGTACGTTCTAAGATTTTTTTTCCAACTGCAGGCCTACATGAATATTGAGACACCTGTATAAAAATATGAAGATGAATTTTGGTATTTTTGAAGTTTTTTTTTTTTTTAAAGAAGCCTTATAGAAACTGTTCTATTACGATATGGTGGTATAAAGATAAACTGTTGATATTTTTAGGGTTTGCTTTCTGTCGAGTTTTTTTTTTCACTGCAACCTTTCAAGCATAATATAATATATTAATGCTTAGAATATAATATAGAAATGATGTTTGAGATCTGCTCAAAGCACGGAAATAGTCGCTGAGTAAGCAAGTAAAGAAATCATGCGATCGTAGCACAACAGAACGGCATGCTCTCTGAAAGCTAAACCAAGCTTGTACAATATAAGCCTTATAACTGAAACAAAATGTTAAGTTATGTAATTCTTATTCATCAAAAATAGCAATTTGTAGTATGCAAAAGTTCCTTTGAACATGTATAAATATGTCGACTTTCAGTTGTTGTTTTTTGCTTTTTGTTGTTTTTTTTCTTGGAAAATCGTAATTTTGTCTTTGATGGATCCTAGATAATATTACCGTATGATTCAGTACATTTCACAATTTGCGTAACTATTTACGTCATATTTCACAATGTCATTATTAAAAAAGTAGAAATCAATTTTGTTATTCTGTGTCTGATCAGGGAATACCCGCTACTTGAAACGCATAATCTAATACAACCTGTTGCATTGACGGCTCTCAAGCATGACGATAGAAATTAATCATGCGCAAATTGATCGTTTGATGAAATACTCGATAAAACGTATTGGACATATTAATCATAACCGAAACCAATTTAACAATGTGATGATAAATACTCGAAATTGTGCATTGAATATTAAATCATAAGCAAATTCACTTTTCTTGCAATGTCTGAAACACTCAATATAATGCATTGAGCACAATAATAAAAATAAAAATAATAATAATAATA